ACAGCGGTCACAAACGTGTGCACTGTCTGAATTATCAAGCAGTTACTGTTCCGGACGGACTGTGTGCCCACTTCTTTGGACCCATCGAGGGCCGCCGACACGATACGACCATGCTTCGCGAGCGTAGGCTATTGGGCTACTTAGCAAACCATCCCGAGGTGTTTTCGAGGAAAGTCATCTATGGCGATCCAGCGTACGGGGTGTCCGAGCACATGCTGTCCGGGTTCAAAGGCAATGGTCTCAGTACCATGCAACGAGATTTCAACAAGTGGATGAGTCGGGTACGCCAGTCTGTCGAATGGAACTTTAAAGTGATGAAGACCCTGTGGTCTTTTATTACTTTTAAGACTCTGTCAAAGATTAGGTTGTCTCCAGTAGCTAGAGTTGTTTCAGTTGCAATGCTTCTGACCAATTGCCAGTGTTGCTACTTTGGTGGAAACCAAATTAGTAAGTTCTTCGACCTCGAGCCACCAACTCTAGAATCCTACTTGGATACATTGGAAGTAGTAGTTGTCTAACAAATACAAATTACTCAATCAAATGACTTGATTCAAACATTTATTGAGATTGACCGAGTGTCGACAGTAATTTCATCATCATTTCATGTTGCACTCGCAACTGCTCGTGCTGAAATCGAAGTTGCTCTGCACGCAGCTCTCGCTCGCATCGACGATCCTCGAACTCCTTTTCACGAATAATTTCGCGCTCCTTCAGGTCGCTGTCGTACACACGCATACGGAACTCGAGGTCGGCTTTGCTGTCGTCGTGCATCATCTTCATCATCTTCGTCATGGCGCTCCCACCTCCCGACCCTGCCTCGCCATCGTCCTGTCCCGCCTTTTTACGCTTTCCCAGCGATTTCATGGCCTCGTCGCGGATTGTCGCGGCCATGGCATCCACCCGGTCTGGTTCCTGCTGCACTTCCTCCAGCCGCACCTTCTCTTCGTTTTTCCAGTCGTCAAACGCAGACAATAAGTCGTCCAGGAGCTGGAACTTCTCACCGTAACCCTCGTCGGTGCCAGACGCGCGCTTTCCTTCTTCGTCTTTGTGTCGGTGTCCTTCGAGGAGCAGAGTGAAGCGGTTTTGGGCTCTCTTGCCATCGAAGCCCGGGCGGTCGAATCCGTCTTGGCTTTGAACGGCTTCTGCTACAGCAGACCAGCGCACCATGACCTGTCCACGTTTGGCCATGAAGGGCAGGCGTCCATTGATCTCACGGAGAAGAAGGATGTCATCGTCCTCCGTGAAACGGCGCGCTCTTCGTCGGTGTGGACATGGTGGCAGGTGGCTCGTGCAAATGAATGGTGTAGTGGCGTGGCGTTTATCCCTACACAGAGACAATTCCCGTGCAAAAGCATAAAGTATGGTGAGTTTTACTATTTGATCCCAGAGGTAAGTTCTTGTTTTGTCAAACACGTGGAATTGAAGTGCCGGGGGAGTGGCCGGACGGTTTGCAAAATCTCTCTAATACCACCACCGCTAAAGTCAACTGTAAATAAAAACAAGTTTTTCAAAAATAATAATATTAAAATACAAGGAAATCTACCGCACATCAAAAGAAATACTTCAGTACAATTTATACGTAGTACTGCTCAACAGTGCGAAGAAGCATGCATCCCTTAGTTAAATAATGTTGCTATGGCCTGATCACGTCGATGCCGGCCTTGTCCACGCCATCGAGAAACTCGTCAAGAATGTGCGCGTGTCCATTCTTCACCGCCAAGCTCAATGCCCGTGAAATGCATCGACTTCTTGGCTTCAAGTGCATGAGAAAGCGAGCCATCGTCGGTCTGTTCAGCGCAATCGCGGCGTCCACTACCTCGTGGAATCGATAATCGTCTGTGGGGTATCTTGGGAAACATCGAAGCAGCAGTCGGAGCAAGTCTAGGTTGTCTAGGAGAATGCAATGCAGCAGTGCTTCTCGAACACGGCCGTGCGGTCCAAGGTGCATGGCGACGAACTCATTGTCGGCAAACGTCGACATCCAATGCCCCGACGTGAACACTGGGAGGAGTGTGGGGAAGAGTCCGTTTTGGTAGGTCGCAATGGCGCATAGCAAGTCGCGCGACGTGAGTACGACCATCGCGCTCGGTGCCTCTGTCGAATGCCACGTGTGCGGTTCGACCTCCGTTGCCTTTCTTTCCCGCATGTACGCCTCAGGCTGCTTCTTGTGGTTATATGGAGATCGATCCAAGAAGCGGGCCGACGTCACGACTTGACCGCGCACACAGGCTAAGATATGCGCATCCATCGTTGCCGCTGACTCGGCGAATTTGAAAATGACCGGCCGGATGATGCTGTCGATATCTCCCTTGACAGAGACAGGCCACCGGCCTTGTGATTGGTCGAGACCACTGACTTCCTGGGTTTTGATTGGTTGGGGCATTTCAAGAATGTCTGTGATTGGTCCATAGAAATATGGAAACCAAAGAACTCCCGCCACCTTGAAAGTGAAACGCTCGGTCAGAAGCGCCAAACATGCAAGGAAGGACAGACCCGACGAGCGCATGCTCCCAACAACATCTAACTCGACAGCAACCGCCGCCGGTCGAAGGGGACGCGGGCGGCGTCTGATGACGACGGGACTACAGTACAGTACTACCGTATATTTGTAGGTGCAACGTCAATCAGGCCTGTCGCGACACAGACATGCAGCCGAGAACATCATCCAGACTACTATGTGACACTTGAGGACTGAAGACCCCCTCGCTTGAGCACTGTGCTTCTTGCTGCTATCGCCAACGTATGAAGGTAGATCAAATCTCGCTGCGGACATCGTGTTCGTCGGCATCGACAGTACAGTACGCTACCTGGGCGACCATGCGGTTCGTGCCACGATGCTACTGTACGTCCAATATTTGGTACTGTAGGACTGACTTCTCTTCCATGACACCTGTGTTTGTTTACCTTCCAGCATGATGGGTGGGCATCAAAGGTGTATGGCAAGCTACACGAGCAAAGATCGCCGCCATGCGTATGCTTCGAGCACCCAACTCGCTTTCGAATCTATCGCGGCATACCTGGCGTACATAGAAGTCTGAGTGTGTGACATGTACTGGAGAGCCTGCTGGAGGGCGGGGAGTAGCTGGAGGCGACGGATGTACAGCTGTGGGGGGCCAGGCTACAGTAAGTTATGTACATAATCGTACGTTGGAGCAAGTCACCGACGACAACGGCGTCGTGTGTGTGCATCAATCAACGTTGTCGTAGATGGGAATGGGAAGAACTCCATGTGATAACAAGTCTACGGTGAATATCCTTCGATAGAATTTAGCCATTGTGTGTGATGACGTTAATTGGAAGTACATCCTAAGAAGCCACCAGAGTGCAAAAACGAGGCAACTGTGCGATAGATGCATCGATCAGAAGTGTATGGTCAAAAGATGGCTAGCTACAGTGGCGACGACGGACGTCGGTCATTGGGGATGGACGGCCCCGTAGAGCTACCGCCGACGGGACTTGCGGGTCTCGACGACGGTCGATGGCTGCTGCTCGGAATGGGCACCGACATGCGCCGCACGTCTGGAATCGTGACGACGATGCGGCGAATGTCGTGTTCGGGGCTATGGGACACTTCGATCCACGACGTCCACCGCGTCCGCCGCAGTCGCCACCGAATGCCGTGGTTTTGGAAGATGTCTTTGCGATTGATGCGTCGAAGCACCCGTCGAACATGCAGGTCGACCTGGAAGGGTTTGTTCCATGAGAGATTCGCCAACAAATCACGGACATGTGCCTACCTCGGACGTACATGGGCGGGCGCAGCACAATATGAGACCGCACGTGAGCGCGTAGCCAACGTACGCGTACACGACACAGCACATGCATGGAAAGTAGTCGGCGACCGTTTGGTTTATGGCACCGATCGCCACGCGGAACTCCTTCTCGGTCATGAGTCGCTCCAGAGGTGGTGTGAACGTGTCGGCGTACTTGGACGCCATGCCGTCTGTGGCGACGGCCCCCATTGGTTTGAGCCGCGCCAAGATGATTGCTTGCGACTTTCGATTGTCGTCATCGTCGTCGTCGTCGTCATCTGTCGCGTCCCCGTCGTCGTCATGAAGATCCTTGTCCAAGAGAGGCTCGTGGAGCGCCGACGACGTCGTTGTCGCCATCGAGCTCAGAATGCTTGTGGGCAGGCAACATCATGATGTTGCAGGACGATGGACGTTCGATTCGAAGGAATGGCGGGTCGCAATATATCACCACGTATATGGTGAGGTCCAAGAAAGCACCACGTGACACAAATATTTCATATTATCCAAAAATTCTGTCGAATTTCCTGCAATATCTCATATAAAACCAAGTTTAAGAGGTAACTAACCTTTATGGCTACATTATTAAAATCATTCTTTTTAGCCAATCATACTGTTTTGATCAATTTGCTGGGCTGTGTTGAATGAAATCGCCGCCCAAAATTGGCAAAATTGGGTGAAAAAGATTCTGAAAAACCCATGTAAATCTCACCCATGCTACTTAGTACACCGATATGTATATACATGTCCATAGGAATCGCCGCAATGCTGTGGACGATACAGAGTTAGTTCCGTTGGTTGTTGACTGCCAGTCAAAAAAGAGTAGTTCAAGACCACCACAGGCTGGCGTGGTAGGTCCCATGTATTCCCGTTACGAAGTGTGGATTGCCATCTACTGCACAAGGGGGCGGGTTTCATGCTCAAGATAAGCCAATGCACCGCCTTCCAAGAGCGGCGAGAGTTTGGCGCGGACGTCCGCATGATACGTGTCGACCCAGGCGATCTCATGGGCCGTGAGCTCCGTCACGTCGATGAGCTTGCGCTGGATAGGGATCAACGTGATCGTTTCAAACGTGCAAAACTTGCCATACGCCGACTTGCCGACGTGGGGGGCCTATGATACAAATATATTATCCATCCAATATATATATATATACAGAGTAAAAATAATGAATATGTACTAGTATGTATATATATACCCTGTACAGTAGCTAGTACTACTACTACTATGAGTAGAATACATATATTCTTCTTAGTACCTCGACAACAACCATGAGGTTTTCGATGCGAATGCCAAACGCGCCGTCTTCGTAATACCCTGGCTACAGAGTGTGGGTATAAAAGTGTCGAGAAACTTACAAATGACTTCGTACCTCGTTGCTGACAATCATGTGCTCGGAAATGAGCAGCCCCGTGGGGTTGAGCTTGAACGACATCAACTACACACAACCATAGACTGTATATGAATCCAGTGTATACATAAATATATCAAGGAATCGATCGATTCTATATATATATATATTCCGTACCACGCCCTTTTCATGCACATTCAAGAACGCCCCCACGCCGTGCCCTGTGCCGTGGCGGTAATCCAAGCCAACCCTACGAAAAATAATATGTTTTTTTTCACCCCTTGTTTTTATTTTCAATAGAATATCACTGGTTACACATGATCTTTTGATATACATAGGCAAGCAAAACATCCATCGTCCGAGGAGTTCACACGTTGAGAGACACATTTATATATATATATATATATGTATAAATGTTCTATATATTTATATATATTGTTGTGTTTATTCTAACTGTAAACTGGAGCGACATAGAGAATGAATCGACACAACCAAATGTACTCAAGAAAATCGGCAGCATAATTGAGCCAATCAGATTCCAGGAAACCATCTTCAACATGTAATTAGTGTGTGCCCTCAATTAGTGTGATACCAATCACCACGATTTTACATAAAAATCAGTACAAAAAAATGATCGATATAGATTTGGCGAATCAGCACAAAAGTCCAATTTTGGGGTAAAATATGGGGAATATCGTACTTCCACAACGGCGCGCGGGTGATGGCATCCAGCTTGACGCCTTCGCATTCATTGGGAAACACAGCCTACACCAAACATATTTATTATATTAAGCCAAAACACAAAATACTATGAATAGTAGTGTTCACATATATACTCGACGTCCACTAAGTGTCCTCGTATACAATTCCTAGTATACTCCAAGTCCACGTTTGTCCTTTCGTTCACGTAACTCGTACTATTTACTAGTACGATGTATATATATATATATGTGGAGAATATTACCGTAGCCAGCGCAATGTGCGCCTTGAGCACATGAGTAAAGCAGTGGACTTCGTGGGCCGTGGGCTGGCCCAGATGGACCGTGCGCGTCACGTCTGTGGTCCCATCCAGGTACTGCGCGCCAGAATCGTTCAAGTACATTTGGTCTGTGGTGACACGGCCACAAGTGGCTTCGTCGTCCGCCTAATATGGTATCGTGGTGAAAAAATTAAATATTTTCATAGAAATATATATTTATATATATCGCGAAAGCCACATTTACATGGTAATGGATGATGGCGCCGTTGGGGCCCGACCCGGAAATGGTCGCAAAGCTCAACGACTTGAAGTGGTCCTATCGTAGTTCAAAACGTGAAAAAAAACATGAAAAAACGTCCAATATATTGGACCATTTCAGCTCTTTTTTCAGTACCATTTGCCGACGAAACTGTTGCTGCTTCTTGTCGGCCGACACTTCCGTGATGACTTGGCCAGACGTGACGGCCTCTTGAAGCCAATGGAAGAATCGGACTTGCGCCGCGCCGTCGCGAATATGCGCGCTCTTCATGCCTTGGATCTCCACGGGGTTCTTGATGGCTTTGTGGCGGAGGACGATGGATGGCGCTTCCTTGCGCAGAGCCGGCGGGATGGCCGAGAAGACCGCGACGTTGCACTGCGCAGGGTCCACCAAGATGGACGCGGTGTCCTTGGGGACACTCGCGGCATACGCTTCGATCTATCATCATATTTCGTTGTGTTTATATATTGATTGATTGGCATAAGTCCGAGATAGTATGTATATCGATTTATCATGACGATGATTTATAAGATGTTTCCAAGCCTACCTCGGCAACCACGGTGTCGTACGATTGGATTTGGACCTAATGGTAGCCAACATGGGAATTATATTAGTGTGATAGTGGCAACAACGTGTGTATATTTTTCCTGTCCATTTATATTAACCATGAAAATGTGTCCGAAAAGGTTACAACTTCATGGGCAAGGCAAAGTCGTTCAATAATTATATGCACTTTCATTGGCCAAAATGGAATAAAATTTCCAAAACCCAGTCTACATTCATCCAATCATATGTATGATATGTACAGATAGATGATACAAGTCCACGCTCGGAATAAGCTTACAATATATTTTTATATTTTTATATTGGATATAATAAAGTAATGGAGTTTCTAATGGTGACAACTTCAAACACTGCAAACTTGTGGTTACCGATGTATGGAAAGTAGATATATTCCGAATAAACGACGAAGAACGAATGGACGACAGGGGAAATCCTTACGTGGGAGCCGAAATGCGCCAGGACGTCGGGGGTCAGGGCCTGGGCGTCCACAAATAGTGTGGCGCTGGTGACCGTCACCAACGCATACGCCATGCTAAGATCATATAGTTAAGGTCAGTGTATGGAATATATATATATATATAGTATACAAGTATAGGTATATTATACTTCTAATATGATTGTATATAATACATACTAGTATAATACTATGGTACTTCAAAGTATATGTATATTTGACTGAAGTATATCTATATACATATATTTATATATCACAAATACATATATTTATATATCACATATACATAAATAAAACATATACATAAATAAAACATATATTTATATCCAATATACTAGTATACAAATATTTATGATATATATAATTTATATGATATATTTATATATACGTACACGACAGGGTTGAATTCGACGTCCGAGCCGCGAATGTTAAACAACCACGCAATGTCGTCCAGCGCCGTGAGCACAATAGCCGTCGCGTGCTTCTTGGCCAAGTCCACTCGAAGCTACCACATAGTAGCCAAATATATACGTTTAGAGTGTTGATAAACGTTTATATATATATATATATATATATATATATATATATTTGCAAGAATGGAAACAGTACGTACGTTGGAGAGTTTCGTGGCGACAGACGCGCCGGTGAACTGCTCTCCAAGCACTTGCAGGTCGGACGGCACGCGAGCGGGCTGGGCGTCCGCCCACACTTGGTCCACAACATTCGCGCCCCATTCGCAGCACACGACCGACGCGTTCGACTTGGACGCGGACGTGACGAGACGTCGCGCCGTGGCCACGGACGTGAGCAGCGGGTCGATCGCCAATGCGTCGCCGGCGTGGAGGTTGGCTTCGACCCATTCCTCGACCGTGGGTACGTCCTTCTGTCCTTGTCGCATGAGGGTCCAGTCTTTGGACAGCTGATGTTCGGCTTGCAGAAAGTACCGCCCGTCCGTCCACAAGTACGCGTGGTCGTGGGTGATCAAAGCGGTGCCGGCCGACCCGTCGAACCCAGACACGAACGTGCGGCGCATGTCTCGGGAGCTCACGTATTCGCTTCCGTGCGCATCTTCGGACTCCACGAGGAGCGCAGACACGCGCGCTACCGAAGAGCTGCTTTGGATACGGAGTTCCGCATCAAGGACACGTGGCGCGAGACCGGCAAAGGCGCGGCGGAGCTTGTCGAGCGTGGGCGACATAGTAATATGACAATGACCATGGCTGCCGTTGATTGGCCGGGCTGGTGATTTCAAAGCCACCCTAACCGCACGTAGACTTGAAGTTTGTATCCGCCATCTGATAGGTGGGTTTTGTAGGGGTGACTCCAGTCATCGTGTTGGGATTCGGACATTTGACACATGTGAAAATATTACTTAGTTTCTAAGCTGAGGAGCATTGTTGGCTCCTTCTTCATCGGCAGGACAACTGTACACATATACTAGTACTTCTTACTGATAATAGATAGCAATTATAAGTGCTCCATAGATGGTAGCATAGCTTGTTGTGCTGACTACTACAGTACTACTACGTACTCCAGAGTAGTAATACTACGCAGTACAAGGTGTACTAGTACTACTGTACTAACGTTAACTGTAAAGTCTGCTTTGTTTGTGGCAATATAAACACGAAACGTTTATTGTCCTTTCGAGTGAAATTTCGTGTTGTGGCGTGGTTTCTCGTTGGAATTTAAATCGACTTGATTGGCTACTTCAAAATTATTAGCCAATCAAAACCCATTTCTCAATGAAATTCAACCAATCAGATCGATTGTGGATTGGTTTGGTTGGCGCGAGTCGATTGCACTCCTCCCCAAATTTGTATCAAATCGACAATAAAAACGTTTTATTAAATATCGTGACATCAAGTCCGCTTCAACCTTCGGACTTAATTGGACCTGTGTCATTTTCGTGATGTTCCTTGCACGCACATTCCAGCATGGGTGGACACGCCGGTCCATGTCCACATCAACCGGCGGCGGGTTCCACTTCCCATCGCCGCGATCTCTGCAGTCCCTCGTGAAGCTTGATGACTTGCAGCAGGAAACTCCAGACGCGATTCGACGCATTTGGGGCGAGTACCATGACGCCAAGTCCGACGCGCTGGCCACGGTCCTGACTGCTGCAGAACTGGAGACGCTGATCGCGCGGGGCAAGAAATGCTCATTCTTCGTCTTCCCAGTATATCGCGTCAACTCGGAGACGAAGGAAGAAGGGTTCTTCACCATGCTGTCCCAGTTCCAAGACAAGTGCTTCCTCCTCACCACGTTGGATGCTTACCGCGAAAACCCAGCCCAAGCGCCGCCGTGTCTTACGGTATCCCTCTTCGACGACCTCGTGCCGTCGAAGGAACTTGCGCTTGTGCGTGGCGACGTGGCCAACGTGCTCGACAAGCCAGAAGCGTCCGTCCTCTTGGACGCCGTTCTCGCGCGTTACGTCGACGACGACCTGTTCTCGACGGTCGAAGCGTTCAATCTGAAGCCACACGAGTTTAACTTTGACGCGTACTTGGCAGAGTGTAAGAAGAAGCGCGATGACTCTCGAGAGTAGATATACGTGTTAACTTGAATAAATCAACAACGGGTGCGGGGCACAATACTGCGCGGCAAACAATCTACCGTCATTTGTTGGCTGGGAAAACGCGACCTTGGACGTGGGAATGGTCATGCCGTAGCTAAACCCTTGCCGCATGACGTCGACCAATGCGCGGGCAATCTGTTGCCGACGAAACGAGGGATGGACCCAAACGTGGCTCACGCCAACCATAACCTTGTGCCCTTGCGATGACGGTTCGATCGAGACGATCTCCGACGACGAGTCCAATTCATATCCCGTTGCCACGTCTTCGGCAGATACGACACCCACAACGCGGTTTTGATGCAGGTACACAAAGTGTTTTTGCTTCAAGAACGCGCCTTCGTCCACGAGACCGAGTGCGTCGTCCAACAAGGATTTGATCTATACGATACGTGTTATGCATATACACGATGATACCACGAAGGGGGCGTCATTTGAATGTACCTGCAGCAACTTCTTGACATGTGCCGACGAGTCATCGCCTCGGATTTCAATAATTCGCGCTGCCTTTGTGTCCAAGGTTCGATGTACGCGCTCAGATCGCCACCCAGATATGACAATTCCTTGGCCCAACTTCTTGCAGTATTGGGCATGCGCTCGGTCGTCGGACTCGACTCCATGCATGTACAAGAGTCCACAAGCAGAGCATGTCCGTTCACCAATGTCCTTCTGTCCCAGGTCGAGAAAGAGCTGTTGGTGTTGCTTGTGCTTCTTCCTAGGCAGGTCCACATCCACCCTTGGTTCCGTCGCCTCCATGACCACAGGGGGATACGTGCTTCTTCTCTTGCGGGAGACCTTTGCCATGCTGAATCCTGTCGATTTCATGGGTGTGTCTGTCGTCTTGCGCTTCATCAAGACATCGAAGGCGTTCAGTGTCGCCATAACGCGTTGTCGTCCACGGCGGCGGTGAAATTGAAATGTGCGAAAAAGCCCGCGCAAACGTACGGATAATTCACATACATTTCCCAAGATAATAGAAAAGCCGAAGAATATTATTTTTCCCTGAAAAAGTCACACAATATGAACTCTATCCGGACAATTTATCTACTGTATAACGCTCATAATATTAAATGTCAAAAGTAGTAGTAACCCCGAAACACCAAGATCTCCAGTCGCGAAGATTCGGCATGTGCTGTACAGGTACAGGTCTTCTTCTTGATTCCGTCAACGACACGAGAAATGACGTTTATTTATGTCCTGGCCCAAAGAGGTTCATGCTAAAGCTTCGACGGAAGCTCACTTGTGCATACCCTTGGTACCAAGTGGTAAAGCAAACAGGGCAAGAATTCCGCCCACTGGCCTCGCGGTATTCTTGGAGGCAGTTGAGGTGGACCCAGGAGAGGCTGCATTTGCAAGGGCTTGGGATGAGTTCGTTTGGGGATGGGAACCGAGACGCCGTGCAATCGCATATCAAGCACACGCGGACAACGGCGTCGCACGGCGCCGACGCGGCGCGGAAGTCGGAAGCTGATTCGGTGTCGGACTGCGAGCCGAAGGTAGTGTGCGAGGACGCAGCTTTGAGACTCAGGCCGGACGACGAAGGGTGGAATAGAACGTCGGGGTGTTGTGGCATGGTGGTTTCCATTGGGGTATACACAGCATCGTCGGTAGGTTTCCTCCTCCTTCTCCTCGCAGGCGGTATGGCGAGCACTCGTAGCCCATCTTCGTGGAACCGATACACGGGTGTGTTGGTGGTCTTTCTGCGGGATTGTGTTGTCGGTGGCGCCGACATCGACATTGCCGACGAAGCTGGCGGCACGCCGAGGAGCGACAGAAGCGGCGCAAACACTTCTCCTGCCGATGCCCGTCGATGCCGCCGCGGCGGGGATGCCTCTTCCCGCGACGTGCCTATAGGCTCGATGGAGGCCCGTCGTGAGAACATGCATGGAGCGGCGGCTTGCTGCTCCCTCGTCCACGACCGTTTCACGCAGTGGGGAACTTCCTTGCTATTTTTATACTCGGCGGGCAGGAAAGTGTAGCACTACCTACCTACAGTAGCATTATTACTATACATACATTGAAACCTTCTAAGCTTGCATGTACTTCGAAGTATGAAGTACTACGTAGTACATCAAGCACATGATGTAGAGGGGTCCATACAGTCAGTAGTACAGAACACTGTTGTTATACATTATTGATCAGCCAGCTCCACGAACGATGTGATTGGTGTGACGACGGTCCATGTGATGACTGTGCTAACCGCGGGACCAACCCCTTCCACAGCGCCATGTACCCTTCCGCGTTGGAGATGACGCCGATGGCGTGCACAAAGCCCTTGTACTTGGGCTCCTGGCCGTGCACCGAGACCTACGGCATGAGGCGCGTCTCGATCCCATCCATTGGCGTGTTCAAGGCCGGCCCGCGACCATCCCTTTCACCTCCTTCTTCCACACATCGGTCGCCTTACCGTCACCTTCTTCCTTGGCCCACAGGTTCGAATTCATCAATCGCGAACACCGTGAAGTTGCACGCTTGGCGCAGCATCGTCGGCACGTCGCCCTTCCAAAGCGCAGTCACCCCTTCGCTCGCAAGCAAGTGCCGGGGCCTTTTAACTGCCCCTTGCCCACCTCCATCCTTCTGCAGCCGCGTCTTGATCATATCGAACGGCGTCACAATCAACATGGACTCCAGCACCCCTGCGCTGACGTTCGCGCGACTCGACGATTTGGTGCCAGGGGCGTCGCCCAATAGCTCCTTGAACTTGGCAAACGATCCAAAAATCGAAGCTATAGTATATTGAGCGTCAAGTGCGCGTGCGATGAACGGGGTCAGGCTCTTGTACAACGCCACGCCACCCTCACTCGAGTATATCGATTTCCCTCAATGCAACATGCCCCTGATCAATCCAATTGCAGCCGTGTCTTCTTCGTCACGTCAGTACCTGATAACGCCACAGCTATCCCCTAGTCATCCCCACAAATATTTTTATTGTATGGCGACGACGCAACCTTGGACTTGACGTCATCGATCGCACGGTTACTGCGGGGGAACTCAATGAGATCATTCGGTCTGAGTGCTGAGCAAAGGCGAAACAAAGCAAGTTGGGCAAAAAAATGGAGGGCCTTCGTCACTACCCTCCCGGCATGGTATTCTTGGAGGAGCTCGTCGGATGTCGTCGGTGAGTTCTCTGTGAAATTTGGCCGCTTTACAGTCGTTCCTTGTATTATTCACGATGGAGGTGCGATTTGTCGGCATTGCCCCTCCTTCAAGTGAGGTGGGCAACGAGGCTCCGTTGTGCGGTGTGTGTACACGTTGCGAAACGATTCCAAACGGCGGTCACACGATACTATGTTGAAGGATTCGTAATAAGTGGCGCTCACGTGTCAATAAGCTCTTAACCAGTTACCGATGTCGGTACTGTAAGGTAAGTTGTTTCAAGCACTATTCGTACTAACAGCAAGTTTGTCCATCTTTCTGAGTCCCGTAATAAGCACGTCGATGCCAATTCTGTGTTCATATTTCTCAAATGTCATACCATGAGCTCGTTGTTGGGGAAAATGTTATCCGGATTTGTTTCATCGTATCCGGAAAGTCCCCCGATTCTGGTAAAGTTCGAATCCAACGACCTCCACACGCAGCAGCGCGCGCAACAACTCGAGACATTCATCATGGCGGCTGTAAACACAAAGAAACCCTTGCGCCGAGCGACATGTACGACTCCATCTAGATACAGATACAACCGAGCAATACCTGACGAACACATGCGTAGACGTCAAAGTCAAGGACCTGACGCCTGCAACCAAGGGACACTGCTTGGTGGTTCAAGTGTATGCACTAGGACATGTCACCGAGAAACCTCGATACGATGGGTCCGTCGTTCGGATAGTTGAAGCCACTGTGGGCGATGAAACAGGCACGGTGGTGCTGAGCGCCCGAAACGGTACGTTTCTGTCGTTGGAGTTGCCTTCAAAGTTAACGGCAACAATGTCGTAGGTCAAATCCAGCTGCTTGATGTGGGTCGCGTCCTAGTCATTCGAAATGCGAACGCCGACGTGTACAATGGCTTCTTGCGCCTCAACGTGACACAATGGGGCAAGATTGCACCCCACCCCGACGGCATTGCGTCGACGCCGAACGCGCCGTCGTCAATCAACACCGTCAACAACATTTCTAGCGTTGAATACGAGCTCGTGCCCCTGGACGATGACCACGGCGATGACCACAACGCAACCCACACGTAATACCACCACATACGTAAGGAGCAGGAGCAGTTAACGAATCAACATGCCCATTGTGAATAGTCCGGCTTCATGCTCGTTGTCACTTCGATATGAACGCCATAACGTTACTGGTATCACTTATTTATTAATCGACGGAGATGCCGTGGTGATACACTATTCGCGTAGTAGTCCCTTTGCTGGACTTGTCAGTTGAACACTCGTATCCTTCAATTCCAGTCACTCCTTCACCCTTACAGGGTAGTTATGGTGTGAACAACGCAAATGACATGAATGCAGTAACGACTTCATCATGAATGCACCACACGGTCAAGAGCAATAAGCACCTTTCGGTAGATTCTCCCATCCTTCTTCATTAAACCTGCGGTGGAAACGACTGTGGCCGAGATCGAGCGATCGAAAGCCGCACCTGCGGTGGAGACATCCGCATCTACTCTAGCAGAACGTCGTAGAAACGCCGTCCACCATTGACTTGGCTGACGCGCATGCGGACTCCCCGACGCTGAAACCAAAACTGCCTGACCTAAGAGCATCAGGGATTGGTCAAAATTCGACCAACTGGACGCCACCGAAATGTAGCCAATCCGTTTCGAGTATTCAGAATACAGAGCTCTGATTCGTGGAATTTCCCATGCGGTGCATTGGTGGTCCTCACAATCGACCAAACGTGGAAGGTGTCATTTCTTGACTTGTAATTGAACCAACAACATGGGTGTCCGTACCAAGACTGTGAAGCGCTCTGCGATCCAAATCATCGAGAAGTACTACGCTCGCTTGAACTTGGACTTCGACTCCAACAAGCGTGTCTGCGACGAAGTGGCCATCATCCCTTCCAAGCGCATGCGCAACAAGATCGCCGGGTACATCACGCACTTGATGAAGCGCATCCAACGCGGCCCCGTGCGCGGCATCTCGCTCAAGTTGCAAGAAGAAGAACGCGAACGCCGCTTGGACTTCGTACCGGATGTCTCTGCCATCAACGTCGACACCATCGAACTTGACAACGACACCCGCGACTTGTTGGCCCATTTGGAAATCACCCTCCCCGGCATCCGCGCCGTCCAGGTAATAATGCGGAGCCATTCACATGGTGTACCCATCCATCATGCATGCGTCTGTCTATCTACATCTTCCTGTCACGTTGCTGTGCTTCTGGGTCGTCGAAGTTGATGTATATTGTCGACAACGAACCAGAAGCCCAGCAACGTGTGACTACTTGCAAGCATGCGTGGGCAGGGTACCACGCGTGCTAGCAAGTCGACTTGTTATGTCTGGATATCGTGTCGAAGAGGGAGGGTTAATCGAATCGTTTCTTGTAGGGCCGTGAACATTAAGTTGTTTGATCTGTTGATGAGGCACTGGTTGTACTGGTGTATATAAACACTTAACAAGTCAAGTTACACAAACCCACTTGTTTTGTCTTCAGCTCCCCCACAAGGAATCAAACTACATATGGAGGAACTCGCGCCACTGCGCAAGGATGCATCTACATGTATACATCTGTGAATGCAGGAACTACTCTGCATGGCGCGTTGAATCATCACAGGGACATGCGATGGTCGTGTACGAGCGATGCAAGCGTCGGTGCATAGTTTAGTTAGCAAGTCGCTGTATTGTGCTTTTCACTCAAATTTTGACAGTGAGCAGTTTACAGAACATATGATGAACGTCATCTAAAAACTTCCAACTGGCCAAATCGAAGAGTGGAGGTTTTATTATTTAACGTACAATTAATGTCGTTAAACCCAAAAACCAAAACGTTAAATACCGATTTTATGCGTTTTATCACTGCAGTGGGAGGTTAAAGGTCCCTACTGCCTCCGGATATTACATACGGATAAGAGTCACATCCAAAAATCAAGATACATCTCAGCGGCCACCCAGGTTAAATATCTATTTCTGGACCAATTCATCACCAAATTTGAATATGAGACGTAGAATTTCTTCACCACATTGAGATCTGTCGATTCTACGTCTCAATTTGCTGAAATTTTGAGTAATGAATATGAAATAGAAGTCTGACATTTTTGTGAAAAATTGGTAGTTTATAGGTGACGAGCATCATAGTGAAGAAATCCACTTGAGGCTCCATTTAATACCGTAAAATGTATTGTATACAAATATTGAATGTAAAATGTTCGATTGGGACAAATGGGCCAAATCCTTGGGCCAAACATAGCTAAAGTACCATTGGTTGGAATTTTGGATTGAATCAATTTCATTGGCTAGCCGATAGTCTGCCCACTATTCGATTGGACTACCCACTCCCAACTTCGAATTCTGTAATCGAATGCATAATACTATTTTAATAGTAAATCAGTATACATAATATATTATTAATATTAAAATATTAATAATATATTATGTATACTGATTTATGCGAATAGTGTGATGAAACAACGACACCCCCTTGTGTTAATACATGCTAGATTGCTTCATAATGGCGAGAAACTCATCTTGGGAGATCACGCCGTCTTGGTTGGAGTCGAACTCGTCGATCATCGCCTGCAGCATGCCGCCATGCGTTACGATGGGTTGCATGATGAGAATCTCGACAGACGCACCTGCAGTTCGTCGTCTGTCAGGGACTCGCCCATTTCCTTTGCAATGCGCCGCATGTTCTATGTAGTATATGGATGGTGAGCTGTGGTGACGCCTGTGCTCCACACGTCTGTCATCACCTTGAGCGTGATCTCCCCCGTCTGGTCGTCGTCAAACAACGTAAACGCCTACGACGACACCCGCGCGGCGATGGGAACATGTTCGACGGCATCGGTCAACCGAGCGTACCTTGATGATTTCTTCGTCCGGGTCGCGCGACGTGATCTTGCGACGCACTGCGAAACATGCAGAATGTGAATGGGGTTCCCATGCTTTTTCCATTGACAACAACGTACTGATTTCCATAAAGTCGTCCAGATGCACCCGTCCTGACCGATGGACGTCGACTTCTTCGACCATTTTGACCACTTCTTGCTTCTTCACATCAAACCCCAACGCCCGCATCATGACCTGGTACGTTGAACCACGATATGTACTTGTATATGCGGCAGTCCAAGTCCTCACCTTGAGCTCATAGTAGTCGACGCTGCCGCTCTTGTTCGTGTCAAACATGTCGAATGCTTCCACAAGCTCCTTCCGTTGTTCATCGGACAGCTCCTGTCGAGGCTTCCGTCGCGTCACGAGCTTGTGCGCAGCGAACGGCACGTCCTTCCGATACATGCTACTGTAATAATGTCAACTTGCCGCCGTTTCGCCCAAAGATCGAAATTCCAGTCCGTGGCTCCCATTGGTTCAAATGTTACCACACTATTTAAAACAATACTACACTATTTCGTGTCCATTTCAGCCAGGAAATGAGAAACCCGAAGCGCATGTCACGAAGGCAGGCTTCATATGTACATGCATCTGCATGTGTGTCCCAGGGTTGATGCACCTTGTTATGTTGGTTCCTTCCTACCTAGCACGCTACTATTACTGTTCATTCGGGTGGCCTAAGTGTGTTTACAGGACTGACACGTCACCGACGTCGGTGCTGCTCAGGTCCAGGTCCGAGTAGTTCTCTTCGCATGCGGTCGAAACGCTGCTGCACGCGGTCAATGCGTCGCTGTCCATCCACGTGTCGTCCTTTGTACTTGGACACCTGTCTGCATGCTCGGGAGACGGTCGAAAGGGGTTGTGCCATACCCCGCCCTCTTCCATCCCATCTGTTCGCGCAATGATGTCCAGCGTCTGCTTCCATTCGTGGGTCGTGTCCGCCGTCGTGGCAAAGTACGTGCAGTGGAATGGCGACGGACCACCGTCGTCGTCGTCGTCGTCGCTGGCGTCGTCGTCGTATGCCGAGAGGTGGATGTCGTCTTCCGCGCCGTACTCGCCCAGTCCGTATATGCACTGAACGTCCATTTCGTTGGACTCCTTGCGATGTGCAATGATCAGGTTGAGCTCGGCTTCCACAGTTTCAAACGACGACGCTTCGCAGCCCGCGTTGCCCAAGATCGTCGCTCGCTCGTCCGGATCCAAGTACCCTTCCTCCATGTAGTTCTGACGACACACTCGCCTACTCATGGATAATGATTCCATTACTCTCTACAATCATGTTTGCGCATGAAGGTTGTCGCGACCTACTCATCCTTGCGCTCAAGTTCGAACGAATCCAAACGCCTTCGAATCCTTCGACGTTCCATGTTGGATAACCCAACCTACATACACATGCCACGCAGTTAGAGACGTCGATAATACACGACGAAGGTACGTACCGGGACTCCGCCCGACGTGACGGTCGTGGTGAAGATCGTCGGTTCGAACTCCACGATGTCCGCGCCTTCAAATCCAACGCTTCGAACGCGCTTGAGGTCCTTCTTCGGGTCAACAAACGTAGCGTGTTTGGGGCTCTTGGCGGTTAACCGGTCCACAGGGCTCACTGGGCCAAGGAGGTCGTGGCCGGGCGGCAATGGCACATCCGACAGGGACGTCACAGCAATAAGTGTCATGTCTACCCACATCGCTTGCAACATGAGAAGTTTCCATGGAGGTAGTACTTCTTCGCATGATGTACGTACACGATATCGATAGGCGGCGACGCGTAGGTGATGGATCCACGCGCTTCGGGGAAGGCGTCGGATAGGTTGGGTGACCCAAACTTGGAGGAATGGGTTATTCAAACTGTCAGGCATGATCGTTCGAAAAAAATCATTTCCCCGGCGTGAAAAATATTTTCATAATATCTCGTGTTTTGTATGGGTGGAAGCTACAGAAAAAATATTTCGGCCGAAATATGCAGATGTCGAACAAAGCCAGTTTAGGCGGGAGATGTTTCTACGAGTCAGAAATTAGGTTGCAGGAGGGCTGACAGGAGCACTTTCGTAATAAATCACTCAGTGTATGTAAGGAATTTATGACATCCAAAAGAACATTGGCTGTGACATATTTTTCACTCCTCCCGTCACCCTGTCTTTTTTGTCTTGGAAGGTGCCAAAAAAACAATTTTTGGAGCCTAGCCATACCCAAACACTTTCTTTTTTAGGAAAAATATCTATTTTTGCCGACATGTGGCGCCACGCAAGTTTCGCCCGCCTTTCCAAAACTCACGAAAATATACTATTAATAGGACTAGTTCAACGAAATATATTCTTGAAATCTTCAAATTGTTCACTTTTTCTTAATATTAATACTTAACCGTACACTATCACTTTACATGTCCTCTAATGTACGACTCTGCAGTCTCTCAATCGCACTTATTTGTTGTATACGAGATAATTCATATGTTCGATTAAGTGCGAACGTTTTCACGATTGGATTGCAAGTCACTGTTTCTGGCGCACATCCTTCGAGAGCGAGCGAACATGTCCCGCAACAACAACGGCACCAACGGGTGGAACGACACCGAGTTCAAGAACGATGAGTCGTCCTTCGAGGCCTTCGCGGCCTCTTCGGGTCCGTTGACCCTCCCTGACTTTGGCGGCAACTCCCAGATCGACCTCGGCGCAATTGCGCCTGTGTTTGGGATCGCGGGCACCACCGCACCATCGGCGGCCGATTACCTGGAATACGACGCTCGCGGGCGAGGTTTCCACGAACGTGCTACCCACATCATCGGCATGAGTTACTTTGGTGGCATCCTTGGTGGCGGGGCAATCGGTGTCGTCGAAGGCATCCGCAACGCGCCAAGCTCGAAGCTCAAGGTGCGTCTCAACAGCCTTTTCAACGCCGCTGGCCACCGCGGCTCCCGTGCTGGAAATGCTTTGGGAATCTTGGCGCTCATGTACTCGTCCATCCAAGAACTTGCGGATACCGCCGAACTGGAGCGTTTTGTGCCCGTGGACAAGGCTGTGCCCGTACTTGCCGCTGGTGCCACTGGCATGCTGTACAAGGCAACGGCGGGTACCCGACCAATGGTAATGGCAGGAGCTATCGGTGCCGTGGTCATGGGAGCGTTCCAATTTGGCTCGTCGCTCTTGCGCTTGTAAACACATTTACCCTTCCCGTTCGTTTAGAGATTTAGACATAATATACACCCTACCCTTCCGTACTAGTATGCCGAGGATGTATGCACCTGTGGAAACCTGGTCCGTCTTCCTCGACATGGCGGCAAAGGTCGAAGAAGTTCCCTTCATTCCATTCCGAAATGTGGTTTTATCAATTGTTGTCCATGATATTTGGAAATTGGAGTAGCAGCAGGGAGTTACAATCGATAGATTTGGCGAATCAGCACAAAAGTCCACATTTTGGGTAAAAGGACAATATTGTTGGCTGATTTTTCAATACAGCACTGTAACAGCTAATCAACCACTACTGGTATATTACTCGAGTATTAATACGTACTACTATACGTAAGGGCCGAGTTCCGTGCCACATTTAGGGCGTGTTCGGAGCGACTTTTGTGTCAGCGGTTTTTGGCTTTTTCCATAAGCCGCTGAAATATCAGCGACTTTTTGCCTTCACTGACATTGGTTAATAACAGTGACATTGGTTAATAACAGAGAAAAATCAACCAATGATGCGTCCTAAAATTCATTGTCCATTTTCAGCTCTATGACAGCGGAGCGCAGAAAATTGTTGTCGCGTAGTGGCTGTGGTGGCCAAATGTTGAGGCGGCGAGTGGCGAAACGACGTAGAGTAGATATAGCTGCATGAGAACTATGCATCTACGCAAGTCAGTCGTAAGTCGGCGGCTTGGAAATATAGACTGCCACGCTAATGGCGCACCGGTAAAGGTCAAACCGACCGACAATGCTATGTGTTTCAACCTTGTGCGTCAGTGTGACCTTCTCTTTCCCGAAGGTGTCGTGCAGTCATCACTACTAACTCTAGGCATGCGCAACCCATAAGATCAACGCCTAGC